CCCAACCCCAAAAACCGAGCAGCCGAGCACGCAGAGATGACAAGCCTGGCCAGGGACAAGGGAAACCCGTGCTCCCGACACTTTCCCCAAAGGAACTCTAAACCAATGTGCTCGTAATACTTCTTGAGGTCCCAATGCAGGGTGGCCGAGAAGTCTCCTCTCCTCGCGCCAGCCTCTGATCGGAACGCGTGACGCCAAACGACGTCGACTTGGCCGCGATTGGATCCAGCCGCCCAGTGCCCACGAGGGTTCTCTTGCTCCCACCTAGCTGCCAGGGCTCTCGCCTTCCCCCAACCCTGATAGAACGCAGGAGAGACGCCGATCCTGGCAGCAGCCGCCCGTGGCCTTCGGGAGGAGGGCGAGGAGCACCCAAGACAGCTGGCGGGGCAACCGACCAGTGGCTTCCGCAATGGAAAGAAGGAAACTCATGGCCTGCAGGCCGCGATTGCAGAGATGCGAAAAGTGGCGGCAGTGGAAGCCGCCCAGCGAGACAGCACTCTGGACCCTGCTGGATCTCGACAGATCTCTCAGCTCCGAGGGAGACAACAAAGATTACCAGACAAGAGAATGGAACCGCCCTCAACACCAAGCCCATGCCCTCTGCCCCAAATCACATCGAACTGATCCCCCTCAGCTTTCAGGAGATGCTTGGGATCAGCAACAATGACTCCGTTAGAGGACAGGGTGATGGTGGGGGACCAAGCAATCGGATCCTTCAAGGCGGCGCGGGCTCTGCGGCCCCCTTTGTCCAGACCAGCGCGCAGCCAGTCGTGCCCAGCAGGTCTCGACGAGTTCGCAGCCTGCGCCTTAGCTGACGAACACAATCCCGTCTCTTCATCGAGCAACTCCTCGGGATCCGATCGGTGCGTGGAACCATCGGCGGTGATCTTCTCGCCTCTCCTAGCTAATCTGGCGGCAACTCGAAAAACGGCGGCGCGCCCGTTGCACTCGGCAGGCGCGACCGAAGGCGCAGGAGCCCGAGGTGGGCCCATGACTGCCTGCGCTACGCTAGACTGAACGCAACCCGCACGACAAAAAAAAACAGAGCATGTAGCTGCGCACGCTGCCAGTAGATAGGTCTGCCAGGAGGACCGCGTGCTCTGCCAACAGGTTTAAGCACCGACTTCCAGAACATCTGCGGCCTCTTGCCCCGAGCTCCTGGCGCGGCTCCTGGCGCGGCCACATCGACGCCGACGAGGTCAGACAGGTCGCGCTCAGCCGACCCAGCCCAACGCGCGCGCCCCGACGCCGGACGCCCGACAGCACCTGACAAATCATGTCGGGCAACGGCTTCAAATCCCCGCTGGGCAACTTCAAGAGCCCCCCGCCAATCGCCCACACGAGGCCGAGGCCCAATCGGGGGCGCCTCAGGCAGCGGAGGAGGACGGCGGAAGGCGAGAGCCTTAAGATCCATCGGAGAGGGGAAGAAGCCTAAACAGACACGGAAATGGGGGCTCGCGCCAGTTCAGCTCAACCCTAACAGACTTGATTCCTTAAGCCAGAGACCGAGAAACCACGAGCGCATCAAAAGCCGACGGCTTGCCTTTGCTGGGGGGGCAGGTGTCTCAAGACGGAGCGAACACCTGGCACGAGAAGTCCTGGTCAAAGCCCGACTTCTGCAAGATCGCGGGGGGCGAGGAAGCCTTCCCCAGCCACAAACTCGCACGACGCGGGCGACCGGGTTTCCCCGACGACCGAGAGAGTTTCCAAGTTCCCTCCAGAAAGACCTTCGGGATGCACGCGATACAGAGATACCGGGCAGAAAGACTCGCGCCCAAGCGCGTGGACCATAGCTGCCACGGCCCTGCCTGGCACAGACACCGTCGTAGGCGCCGCGAACATGCCGAGGTGGTCCCTCGCAAAAATAGCAGTGCCAGAGCTCGCGCCGCCTCCCTCACCAGGGATACCTAGGCTCCAGAGGCTCTTCCACCCCAGCTTGAGCGCAGACGCCGACGCCTGGGCAAAGGCATCAGCCTCCAGAAGACGAAAGCGTTTCCAGGCAAGACCTGAGTGCGCCCCAAGAATTCAGGCTGGCCGTCATCACCGAGATCCCCTCGTCAAAAAGTTCAAAGCACCCGTGACCAGATCCCGCGGCAGGTCTTACAGGAAGAGGCGAGGTGAGGTTTGGGAGGGGGGGGGGGGGGGGGGGGGGGGGGGGGGGGGGGGGGGGGGGAGCTGGGCGAGGCCTGGGGACACCAAGACAGATCCTGGGGTGAGAGGAGCTGAAAAAGGCCTCGAAACCAGACCGCTCGCTTCCCGAGAGCCCAGGACACTGATGCAACAGTCGTTTGAAGATCCGGATGCCCACAAGGTGCAACTTGGAGTTAATGACGGACCTCCGGCCAAAAATTCTTGAAGGCTAAAAAAGTGTCAGGTAAAGCTTGTGTGCAGCTGCTAAAGCTCCCACTGCGAGGCGCCTGCGCCCGCTGCGGGAGTCGCAGCAGCGGCGAGAGCCTCGGCAGCGCGCTCACGCACACCTTTTGATGGCTCAGCGGGCTCAGGAGCAGCAGCAGGGTCACCTTGACCATATTCGCCACCCTTGTGATCCTTCGATGCCTCACCAGCAGGCTGAGCCGTCCCGTCGCTGGCCTTCTGCCGCTTCGGGATAAGACGAGCCATGTGTTGAGCGTGAACACGTTTGGCGTATCTGGCTACGTTGACCACCTGCTTGAAAAGGTCCGACACCAGAACCTCGACCCCGTCTCGCAGAGTCTGCTTGCGCTTCTCGAACTCGGCGCGGTCAGTGTCCGCGACCTCGTACACTGAGCTGGACAAATCTTCGAGTAGATCACAACAAATAATCGATGATGTATCCACTTTGCCACCAACCAAATCAGCCAAAGGCACTGAAGCAAACTTCTTCTCATTAGGCACAGGCGCGGGAAGGTTCGCTTCCGCCGTGCATGAAAGAAGAGATTCCTTGTAGGCGGTGTCGGCCTTGGACAATGCATCCTGCGCGTCACGACTCTTACTGGTAGCCTCCGCCAACACCGTCTGCAGCCGAAACATCCGCGCGATGTCACCCTCGAGCTTTTTCTCTAGCCGCTTGACCTCCGAGTGGGACTGCTGCACCTTAGACTCTGGCGACACGGTCGGTGGCGGTTTCTGTGCCGCTTCCAGAAACTTGACCAAGTCGTTGTATCTGTTCGCCGCCGCCCTGTCGTCCGCATTCTTTGAGAGACTCGCAAGCTGTTTGGCCTCCTCGAGAGTGACGTTTGGCACAGGTCCTGACGGCAACGGGGGCTGCCCTCCAGCGCCTTTGCCACCTCCACCTGCTGCCATGGCCGGCGCCCCTGGAGAGCCACAGCCCTTGCCTCAGCCCTTGGGGCCAGGATTTCTTGGGGACCAGAAAGGCGACGAAGCGAAGGCACCTGGAGGAACATTCGACATAGAAGAAGGACCACCAGCAAACGGACTGCTGACAACACTCGGAGCGGGGAGCGGAGCCTTGCAGTGCACGCGCGTAGTCCATGATAATTTGTTCTTCTTGCATCCACAGCCCTGGCAGACGACCTTTGACGAAGGTGTTTGACTCGAACCAGGCCCACCTCCGAGCATGCCGTTCGCTGCGCCATGGAAGGGATACTGCTGCCACGGGGCGTAGCGCCATCCCTGGCGGTACATCAAACATGTCAGGCCTCGGGCGGGCTCTGACAGGGATCGTGCGGGCAAATCGGAAAGCACACGCCGAAAAACTCTCAAGCCTGCCGCACGGCTGCGGACAACCTCGAATCCTCGCGGCAAGGTTTCGAACTTGAGCCGAAATGGCTACGGACTTCTCTTCCTCATCCTCCTCCTCCCTCTCCGCCTCCTCCCACTCGTTCTCACCCTCCGCCTCTTCCTGCCACCTCCTTCCTCCTCAAGCTCCTCCTCCACCTCCGTCCTCCCATTCGATATCCTAGAGATCCCCGATCCTTCCCAAGCATCCGGTGGTCTGATTGCTTAGTCCGCGGGCATCGGACGGAGGCCAGGGCGCAAGGCGGCCCACGGAGGCCAGGTGGAGCCGAATCGCGGCAAACATTAAAAACAAAATCCGCCAGAAGCCTGTGTCGTTCGAGCTGTCTCTGGTCTGGCGGGCCTTCATCCCCCTCATCAGCACCGTCGATGTCATCGTCGCCAGCATCACCATTGCCACCATCATCATCAGCATCATCATCACCACCATCATCAGCAGCATCATCCTCATCATCCTTATCAGCATGAGCGGCAACATCATCATGTTCACCCGCATCGGCAACTACAACAACATATCAGCAACCACAACAACACCATCAACATCATCATCATCATCACCACCATCACCATCACGATCACCACCGCCGTCACCGTCATCGTCACCGTCCTTGTAACATCCAAATCGTCACAACCATCAACAACATCATCATTGTCGTTGTATTAATCTTCATCTTCAGCTTCATCAGCATCAACATCAACACCTCCATCCTCATCAATATGACCATAACCAATCACCCTCACCATCACCCTCATCATCATCACCATCATCATCATCATCATCCTCGTCATCACCTTCATGACCATCACAGTCGGCAGCATCATGACCGATATCTGAATCCGCATCCGTATCATTATCACAATCGTCAACACCATCGTCATCATCCTCATCAGCATCATCATCCTTATCATCACAACCATCAGCATCATCACCATCATCATCGTCATCATGTCCATACTCATCATCATCAACATCATCACCACCACCATCATCAACTACAATCACCCTCATCAACATCATCATCATCATCATCATCATCATCATCATCATCATCATCATCATCATCATCATCATCAACATCACCATCCTCAACATCGTTGACGTCGTAATCATCACCATCAACAACAACATCATCGCCATCAACATCCTCATCACCATCACCATCATCATTACCGTCATCGATGTCATCATCACCATCGTTGTCATCGTCGTCATCGTCGATGTCGTTTCTCTCGTCAACACTGCCTCAACCGTTATCGTCATCGTCCTCGGGCTGGCGGGCATGATGGTGACGTCGATCTTGGGACCGGCGACCGGGTCCAGCGCAATGCAGAGCTGGTCGTCCTCCTCCGGGGAGGATGAAGCTCTGCGCGGCGTGCACCCCCGCCTCTGGGACCCTGGGCCCAGAGCCTCAGAGGAGCAGGAGGAGAAGGAGGAGGAGGAGGAGCAGGCCAACTTTGTTCTCCCCCATGGGCGCCAGCCTAGCCCACTGCGCACTCGCTTGAGTGATGAACCCAAGGTTGGCGGGGATGGATGGTCAAGGAGGAGGGGAAGACGAGAGAGAATGAGAGAGGGCGCACGTGCCCGCTACCTGTCCTGTTGCATCATCGGGAAGCCTCGTCTGCCCCCGTCTGGATTACTTGAGCGTTTATGCACAGAGTTCCTTTGCCGACTTCCTTGGCTCCTTGACCCGCCAACCGACGTAGTGCACAGACCGAGCCCGTCCGAGTGGGGGAGGAGGAGGAGGATGAGAAGTAGCGCCCGTAGCTTCGGGGATTCGACTTGGATTCGACTGAGAGCGCTCGTATCTTCGGGGATTCGACTGGGACATCCGTGGACACAACCCGCGTGGCGAGGAGCACCTCTGCTGCACCAGGCCTGTCCTAGCTGCAGAGCAGCGCTGCGCTGCGCTGCTGCTGATTGCGCTGGGTCTCAGCTCAGCGCAAATCTGCCCCGCAAAAGGGGCACATCCTTCGTCGGCTCTGAGTTTCGCAAGGGCCCAGGGCTCTGCGGGCAAGTCGAAACCTGCCCCCCCCCCTCCTCCATTCCTGTTGGCCAGAACTGGTGCTGGGCCACGTCAGACTCCCCAACCGGCTCCAGGCGCCTCGTGCTCCTCCCTCCCGCGATAGCGCCCTTCGGCAGGGCTGGGAACCTTCGCGCGTGCAGTGGGGCCCTCGGGTGGAAGCCCACGGCGGAGCCTGCGGAGGGAATCTTCCTTTTGCGTGTGGGGGGTGGGGGGCAGAAAGGCAGCACACGAATGCGATAGAGACAGTGCACTGGGAAACCGATGATAACTTGGTTTTGCGCAGCCTGCGGCTATGATGTTCGCCTTATTTGAGGGGCTGCACAATACGCACCTTACTTTTCCAGTAAGCAAAACAATCACCGGATAATGCTAACAATTTTTGAAATTACAGGAGTGCCAGGAACGCAATTTTCTGCCGCTGGGGGAACTTCCGAAGAAAGCGATCAAATAATCTCAACGACGACGACGGCCACTGCATCATGTCAGTCCTGAATCCAATCATGCAACTTGACCCCCAGGGCGCTGCTGTGCGACGGGCCCCCTGGGAATCTCAGAATCGCCACCCTGTATCACCGATGCCGCTGCTCAATGGACCTCATCCGAAATGCGTTCTGATCAGGCTCTTGGTCAGCGGTTCACAGATAGGGTCCTGAGGGATGAGGGCCCAAAGATAGGAAGCGATCCACGGGTAGATCTACCTTGTTTGAGGCACCTCGTCCTCAGGGCCCCATCCTATCAGGACCCCATCTTTGAACACCGATCCAGGGAAACTGCGGGGAAGAAATGACAGCGGCATAATCGGTCCATCTGGCCCCTCCCGAGGCCCATCCTAGCTGGCCTCTCGCGCTGCGCCCAGCCGTGGCGGCGAGAGCCTCTGGGGCTGCCCCGGGAACCTCCGAAACGAAGACGCCGTCGGCGCCGGAACCTCTGCCTCCTCCAGCCTCTGGCAAAACAGGGACGGCATCGAAAACTCTGAACCCCGAAAAAGATCAACGTCGCAGTGCTACCTACGCCATCTTCCGCCGACCTGAAGAAGAGGCCTTTGTTTAGCAGGCGAAGAACGGTACAAACCATTGTTTTCAGCAATCGGGAACGCCTGTCCCAGGGCGGCTGGCAAATTCATAGCCCACATGCCGCCGCAGGGGTATAAACTTCCCAGCCGCCCTGGAAAAAGTTTCCCCGATGGAGGGGCAAAATATGTTAAACCGGCGTTCGCCCGCGAATCTATTGAGCGCGCCCAATTTGAACCGGGGGGCTGGGGGGCGGGGCACGGGGGTAGCAAAACCGGCGGGCTCCTGTGGCGTCAGCACCTCCCAGGAGCTGTAGGAGGTCAACAGGTCGTCCGCGTCTTCCGCCTCGTCCAGGGGCGGGGGCTGACCGAGCATGCTGCCAGAAAGTTCTTGAGCGTGTATACTGTATAGATAGATATACTTGTTGTGTGCATGTGCAGATACAGCTGCATCTATATTTATGCATCTAGATGAAGACGCATGTATGAATACGTGCATGTACAAGTGCAGTATGTATTTATGCACGCGCGCGTGCGCGGGAAGAAACTCTGGACGTCGGCAATAATCTCAACGGCGAGGGCAGGGAACACGGGCTCTGGGGCCCCAGATTCGTCAAAGTCGGCGCGTGCCCCAAAGTGCGCCGACCGCGGTACTCCAGTGAGATCTCCATCGACAGATATTTCGGCCCGCGCTCATATGCACCAGACAGAACCAATGCATGTGTATATAGATGTATACATCATCATCTTTTAAAGCCATATTGGCATCCACGCACATCTTGATACACACATATACACACATCTATATATGTATATATATATATGTTGATAAACAATAATGGGACGCGGCAGGCGGCAAGCTATCGCCAGACAGTCAGAAAAAAACACTGCGGCAGAGGACGAGGCGACGATGTCTCGCGTCGTCGAAGGCTAGGCCTTCTCTTCGGCATCAGGGCAAGGGGATTTTGCTGGAGGTCCTGGACCCCAGCACCACGGCCCAGGAAGGGCCCCATCTTCTCCCTCAGGAACCCTTTTCCCTTCTGCTGGCGCTGAAACGCCTGGCATTTTACTTTGACGACTGGCGATTTGCCTTCTGGCGCCGTGCGCATCGGCCACGACCGCAGCTTCCCTACAGGGCAGGTCGCTCGACGTCGGCCGACGCCGGGCCGTAAAGCGGCGTTCAATCTAGAACGCCCGCGCTCTGGGCTCGCCGCCGCGTCTCGACACGACGCGAACCTGTCACGGTGTGGCAGCGGCCCCGCGCCTGGCTCTGCTCCCGCAGCAGCTCCCGGACGTGCTCCTGGACATAGCCCCCGAGGAGCCTGGCAGGCGTTCCGCGGAGCGCGGCGCCCCTCCTCCTTCTACTTCTCCGAAGGGCTGGCGATCGCAGTAGACACATGCGCGCTGCATATGTGTATATACACACGTATGCGTGTACGTATATATATATATATATATATGTATGGCTGGAAGGGTGCATGCATGCGTGTGTGTAGGCATGCATGCCTGTATGCTTATATGCATGTATAAGTAGGTATGTATGTGTATAGGTAGGTCGATACGTATTTAGGTCAGTATGCATGTACAGAGGTGTGGCTGGCAATATGCATGTGTGTATGCATGTATGGACGTATGTATAGGTATAGATGTGTGCATGTATGCCCGTCCTAAGGACGCGTGTAAGCCCGTCAGTGTGCATGCATATGTGCATCGGTTTATATATCAGTATAGATATATGTATATATGGATGTATGCATGCCTGCGTGGATGCATGCATGCGTGAATGTCTGTATGTATGCATGGATATGTGTATGTTCGTTTGTGTAGTCAGGCATCTACGCATGCATGTATACCTGTATATATATATATATGTATTGCTGTATGTACGGTTGCATGTATGCATGTGTGTATGTTGGTATGCACGTACGTGTGTGTGTGTGTATGCATGTATGCATGCATGCATGCATGCATGAATTTATGTGGGTGTGTGTATGGGTGCATAATTGCATGCGTGTATGTTTGTGTACGTGTTATTTATGTTTGTATGTGTGTACGTTTGCATGTGTGAATGTATACATGCATGCGTACATGTATGTTTGCATGCAGTCATGCATGTATGTATGCATGTGAGTGAATGTAGGTTGGGTTGTATGTGTGTATGTGTGTATGTGTGTACATGCATGTATCTGTGTATGCATGCATGTATGCATGCATGTATCTATGCATGCACGCATGCATGCGTCCATGCATGTATGCGTGTATACTCATATCTGCACGCATGCCTATGCAAACGGACGCAATATCTCCTGAGACACACAATTTGTCGATCTTGAAGGGTCCTGCAATACCCCGGAATTTCTGCGGGTCTTTGGAGCCATCCGGGGGTAAGACACCTCAGTGGGGCACCTGGTGGCAGTCCGATCTCTTGATTTATCTGCCTGCTGGAAGACAAGTTCGTCGGATGTAAAACTAAGCAGACCTGCGCGGCAATTCGGGCTGCAAGGGGGTTGGGATGGATGGCCATTGCCACCGAGGGTTTTTGTCCCGAGGCTGAGCAAAGTTTGGTGGACATGTCCAAGGCAACTTGGCATCCAAGTGGAACTTGTAGGAGGAGCTGAAGGAGGGGGGGAGGGTGATCGATAATCGAAGCGGAAGGTACAGGATCGCGGCTTCTAGGAGTTGTTTGTCTTGGGAAGTGGGTGCCCCAAAACTCTTATTGGGGCGCATCCCAAGAGAGCTTCACGGTCTGATTCTTGAGAAAAAACACGGGGACGAGGCGGCCTCTGAGGAGGACGGGAGGCAGACACGGAGACCCAGAATGCGGCCAACAAGGTTAAACCAAATGAATTAGAGCGACCGCATTGGAGCGAATCGGGCCCCGGCCCCCCGACAACGGATATCCAACAACGGGGACGCCGATGGGCTTGTAATAGTTCGAGGCGCAATCGCGCTACCAGCCGCACATCCAAACAATGAATGCTTTGCACTCGAGCAGCCACATCCGGCGAAGAAGGGACGAAGAAGAGCGAATGGAAGAGGGAAAAAAGTGTGGCTCGCCTGCAGTCGAACTTCACTGGGAAAGGACGCTATCCCGCATGGCCATAGGAGAGACAAAGGGGAATACCATGCAGAGAAACAACGAGCGGTCGGTGCAGGCTGCCATGTCGTTAGAAGGGACGGCAGGGGGAGAGTGCAACATCGGGACAGGCAATATGAACAAGGCAACATACTGGGGGTACAGGTTGCGATTTACGCGGCGAGGGAGTAAGAGAGCAATTTGAACAAGTTCAGCCTGCCACAATTCAGTGAAGGGGCGACGTTCAAAGAGGGGAAAGACAAACGAAATGAGGGTGGGAGGCAACGGAGCCGGAAGGTGATGAAAACACACGACGCAGACGCAACGGAAGGGAAGCGAGAAGATGTGAGAGCAGGCATGCAACGGAATGGGTGCCAAGACCAGGCGACCGGTGTGGTTGGCTAACGGTGTGACTGGGAATATGGTTTTCGTGACATCGAGCCCGCGCTCCCTTCTTACCTTATCGAGCGAACATACATCGAGCGACAACGACAGAGCTAATTGTAGGACAGCGCGAACCACGCTTTTCTACAAGTGGTTTGGCCACGAACCAATCCCCACTACGATACCGAATCCTACCACGTTGTCGTAGAGCATCGCTAGCTGTCTACGGTGGTGGTGGACTGCTGGCATGTGCAGCACATGGGAGGCATGGTGCGTACTGTACTAGTGTGAGGGAGGCCGCGCCCGGCACAGGAAGTACGATCGGCCCCTCTGTGCAAATCCCCCTTGCTGCGCCGACCTCTGCCTCGCATGCGCGCGTGCTCGTTATTGTGAAGCGGGCCTCGCACTCCAGCATAATGTTCCCATACCACAACGCATGCAGAGAGATTGACAATCCCAGCTTTCCGCGCGATCGGACCATGGGCAACAGACTCCTAAAAGGAAGAACGCACGATTGGACCACCCGCGCGCGCTCTTAAGCGCACGACCGCGGCATGCGGGAAACCCCTCGGAACCACTCCGTGCCCAGGACATTCGAGCGCTCAGCAATAATCGATCTCGTAGCTCCTACGGTTTGCTGTGGCGGCGGCCCGAAGACAGTATGTTCTCGAGGCTGTTCTAGACCCTGGGGCCTTGGGCATCATTCGGGGGCGTTTTTTGATTTCGGAACGCTGCCTGCCTCTGGGCGACGAGAAGGGACGGGTCTTACGCAGTAAGATACAGCGACCATGAACCGCGGCTTTGGCGGGCCGCCAGCGTGGCATACCGCGTGGAGAAGAGGGGGCTTACGCGCGACCTTACGCGGGAACTTACGCGCGAATGTCTGTGCATTCGCCTCCTTTTTCGTCCGTCGCGCAGTTGGTGATGATGGTGATCACCGGGACGCAGAAACCCGATTCCCAGACCGCACGTTCACGAAGTAGATGTGCCTCATTTTGGAGTCCCGGGTGTCTCTCTGATCTTTCGGTTTGGCCCGCCAGTAGCGCAGGTACGCGCTCGCCACCCCCGACTCGCTCTGAACGAATATCTGCAACAGTGCTCCCTCTTCGCATGCCGCGGGGTCCTGCTGAGGGGTGGGACGACGCACTAGGCAGTCAATCACGGTCATGCCGATCATGAAGACGGAGCGCTGCGCCCGTGATCCCCTTGTCTGTGCAGTCTCTTGCTGATGCGACTGAGGGGCAACGACGAGGGGGGGGTAGCTCAGGGGGTAAACATCGACCTGAAATCGGCGAATCCTCGCCGATAGATCGGCGATACACCCCCGATGGAGGACCCGCACGTACATGGGCGGGGTGGGCCATCGTGCCCCCATCAGCACTGAACCCCCTGAGCCAATCCCACTTAGCGTTGCCCCTGAATCGTGCGGGCACCAGAAAAGCATGCACCGAGCATGCGGCCCGAAAGCTCGAGTTGAGATGCCCGTGGCGCATCTCGATGGCCGTATCGCCCTGGCTGTCCTGATCCTCTAGCTCCATGTCGCTGGCACCCTCGGGATCCGACGACCCTAGCGCTTCTCCTCCTAAGAATACGGCGGCACCCCGCTGGCGACGAAACTTGAGACCCTACTGGCCTTCTTCTGTGCCGCCCCCGCCAGCGTTGAACGAGGACTCTGCGGAATTGCTGGCTATACGCTTCTGGGCGATCTTCATCATATCCTCGCTGATCACGCCCGTCGACTTACGTGTAGCCGAATGCGCGCCGTCATACTACGTCGTGTACTCTTCCCGTCACAAGGAGCGGAACAGTCGCCGTGTACGGCGACTCGGCGCGAACTTGCTCAGATCCGAGATGCAGCATCCGAAGCCTACTCCTCCCTAGCGCGTTGCCCCTGGCACTCCGCCCCCTGGCTTTCGGGAAATAACTCGGGCCTCCGACGGCCGTTCGGCACGATCCGGGCACCCCTGGAACGCCTTCGACGAAGCGCAGCTGCTGGAACGCATCCCGAGGTTGAAAAACCTCCGAGAACCAATTCGAAAACCTCGGACGTAACCGTTGAGCTTATCCCCCCCCACCTAACGTTGCCACTGATCGTGCCGATATACCCTCTCCATTTCAAGATGCCTCCTAGATGGGGTCCGAGAAGATTGTGTCGGAGGGTCGCGCCGCATCACCGACGCATCATCGGCGATGCGTCGGCGATACATCGGCGATGCGTCGGCATGGGTGTCGTCGGCGATGCATCGGCGATACATCGGGCTCCGCATCGAGCCGCATCACCGATGCATCGGCGATGCGGTGCGGTCCCCCGACCCCACCTACTCCGACCCCACCCGGGAGGCCTAGACCCTCGCCATGAGAGGCGGAGGGCGCGACGAGAGCCTGTGCATCTCCCGGGCCGCCCGGCCGCGGCGTCGCCGCGGCGAGGGGCTGCGCCGCGGCGAGGCGCTGCGCCGCGGCGAGGCGCTGCGGGCGGGCGCGGCGGGATCGGACCAGCTGCGCTGGAACGGCGGGTCCTGCGGCGTCGTCGGCGGCGTCGTTGTCGTCGGCGCCGTCGCCGTCGCGCCGCCGCCGCCGTCGCTGGAGGGAGCGGGGGAGAGGGAGGGGGGAGGGGGGGATGATGATGAGTCCTCCCTCCTCTATACCCATTGCCCTTCCTCTGGTCCATCTGTTCCCGCTCCTCCCTCCTTCATCCTGTTCCCTGCGGCCCGCCTCCTCGCCTCCTCCCCCCCGGCCCACCACGGCGTTCTCGTGCACGCGACGCCGCGCGCTCGGGGGGTTGGAAGGGAGGAGGGGACATTGGAGGGAGGAGGAGGAGGCAAAGGAGAGTGAGGGAGGGCCAGGATGGGGGTAGTTATCACCCACCTCTTTCTTTCTTTCGCTCTCTCTCCCTCTCGTTCTCTCTATTTGTTTTATTGATGTTTCTATGTCTCTGTATATCTCTCTTTCTCTCTCCGTCCATCTGGTTCTCTCGGCTTCTCTTCCCCTGGAGAGGGGCTTCCTGAACACGTGGTCATGTTGTAACCTCTGGATTCCTCCGGGGTCGGCCCGTTCCGAGTCCTCTTGTTGCTGCCTCTAGATGGGATGTGGAGGTATCCTGGCGAAGGATCCAGGCATATGCAGGTGTGAATGCCGTCGTTGCGGGTATCGCCTTCGGTGGAGCTCCCTATGGGGCCACGAAATGCTGTACTGGGCGGAGGGACGCATGCGAACACCGCCACTGGGGCCTTCAATGGCGCTCCACATGGGGGCACGAAACGCTTTACTGGGTGGGGGACACGCATGCGAATACAGCCACGGGGGCCTTCGGTGGAGCTCCTAACGGGGCCACGAAGCGCTGTACTTGGTGAGGGAGATGCACTCGAACAACGTCACTGAAGCCTTCGGTGGAGCTGCCTATGGGGTAACGAAACGCTGTGGTGTCGGGGAGACGCATGCGAACACCACCACTGGGGCCTTCGGTGGAGCTTCCCATGGGGCCACGAAGCGGTGTATCTGTACTGGGGGGGAGACGCTTGCGAACACCGCTGCAAGGGCCCCCCTATAGGGCCACGAAACGCTTTACTGGGCGGGGGAGACGCATGCGAACACCCCCACTGAGGCCTTCGGTGGAGCTCCCCATGGGGCAGCGAAAAGCTGTAGTGGGCGGGAGAGACGCATGCGAACACCGCCGCTGCCCCCCCATATGGGGCCACGAAGCGCTGCACTGAGAAGGGGAAACGCACACGAACACCGCCACTGGGGAATTCGGTGGAGCCCCTATGAGGCCACGAAGCGCTGTACTGGGCGGGGGAGACACATTCGAACACTGCTACTGGGTCCTTCGGTAGAGCTCCCTATGGACCACGAAACCCTGGACTGGGTGGGGGATACGCATTTGCTCACTGCCACTGTGGCCTTCGGCGGAACCCCCGATGGGTAACGAAACGCTGTGCTGGATGGGGGAGACGCATGCGAACACCGCCACTGGGGCCTTCGGTAGAGCTCCCGATTGGGCCACGAAACGCTGTACTGGGGGGGAGACGAACGCGAACAACGCCACTGGGGCCATCGGTGGAGCTCGCCGTATGGGGCCACGCAACGATGATGGTGATGATGACGGTGATGCTGAAGATGATGACACTGATGACGATGATGATGGTGATGGCGGCACGCGGAGGGCAGAGGCACGGATAGGAGGAGGAAGCAGGGGGAGGAGGACTGAAAGGAGGAGAGGAGGATAGGACGGAGAACGCAGGGCGCTGTCTCTTCAAAACGAGGACCCAAGACGACAGGATGGCTGGAGGACAAAAGACGAACAGGACCTGAGGCGGGCAAAGGGCATGAGCGGCAGGAGGAGAGGGACAATCTGGCGCGACGAACACAAACATGGCCGCTTCTCCTCCCCGCCATACCACCTCTTCCTCCACGTCATCATCAACAGTACCTATCGTCGTCACCATTGGCACCATTATGCATATGGTGCGCATCTTCTTCTGAATCTCCCCCTCATCGAGCATAACACTGTTCAGGCTGAACACCCCCCGCTTCCTCCCCGTCATTTGAATGTTCGATGCGGTAGTGCAGGGAGTCTGGGCCTCCTCCGCTCCTTATCCTGCCACCCACGCCTCCACCTCCTGAAATATCTCGTTCCCACTCTTCCCTCCTGATTATCCTATTCCTTCTTCTCGTCCTCCTACCCCTCTCCCTTCTCATCCTGCCGCCTGATCGTGTCCCCTGCCTCGCTATTATCCCAAAAACTCTTCCTCATCAACCACCTCACCCTGCACCCCCGCCTCCAACTCCCGCTGCCACCCCTCCTCTCCTCCTCTTGAACCTCCGCATTCATCGGAAACGTTTTCCTTCTACCCATCCTCCTCTTACACTCTCCACCTCCTCCAAACACCGTCTCCTCCTGAGGATTTCCCGCATTCTACTCCCGCTGCCCCTGCCTATCGTCCTCATCGTTCTACTCCTCCTTCTCCTCGTTATCCTCCTTCTACTCCTTATCCTTCTCCTCCTTCTCCTCCTTATCCTTCCCATCCCCACTGGTCCATTTTCCTCATCACCCTCCTTCCTTCAGTTCCCTCTGCCTCACAATCTTCCTCCTCATGTCTCCTTACTCCCCTCGGTCTCCTCCCACCCACCCCATTTCTCGCACTCTTCTTCCTCATGTTCCCCGACCCAGTCTCATCATTATCCGACGTCCGGCTCTTCCTCCCCCCATCCACCACCTCATCGCCCTCCCCGTCGCCCCATCTCTTCCTTAGTTCTCCTCGCCATAATAGCCCCCTACCCTTCAGAAATCCTGAAGACCACGGGGAACCTCGAGAGGCCTCCAGACACATTCAAGTCATCGACAAACGTCCTCGTCTGCATGTTCCTCCTCCACCTCCCCCAAATCTTCTCAACTTCCTTCCATATCCTCACCACTTGCCCGAACTTCCGTAAAAAAACATAACAAAGTCGATGGAACCTGCCGAAAGCCTTGAGAACGGTTGAAGACCGCCACCAATATTCAAGCAATTACTGCCTTCTAGGAACCCCTCGAAAAATCTGGTTAACTACTCTCCCAAAGCCTCCATCCGCTTGCTCGTTCGCAAGCCATGTTGCACGGCACATCCGCTCAAGAATGCAAACTGTCCCCAACAGTGATCTCGACATTGAGAGCGTCGAGTTCTCTTGTCCCGGGACTGGCGCTTCGTCCAGCAGCCAACACCGTCTTCGCACGGCCTCGGAGCGAGGCCGCCGATGAGCATCACCCCTCCGTCGTGGTCCCTTGTCCCCGGGATCAGTGTTCATGCCTGCCGAGGGCCCGAAGCCGAGAATTTGCAAACAACTACCGTGTCGTGATTTCTACTCCGCAGCGGTGGAATGGGCCTCTTCCTCCCACCTCCCTGTCTTCCTTCTCTGTCCCCTCTCTCCTTCTCCCTCCCTTCCTCCTCCTCCTCCTCCTCCTCCTCCGCCTTCCTCCTCGCCGAGGGCCTTCCCGTCCAGCCTGCCGGCGGGGTCGGACTTGCGGCGGAAGACGCCGCCGAGGGCCCAGCTCCTCCTGCGCGCCGTCTGGGCCTGCGGGGGGGGGGCGCGCCGGACGGCGGCCCAGCCGGGGCAGGGCGGCCCCGCAAGATCCCAGGCGGCATGATCTTTGTGGGATCTGAGCCCGGGTGCTCCCAAAAAGGGGCCCTGGGCACGGGCGAGCTGGTCCCGGGCAGGCTGTGCTGCCCTGCGGAGGGGGAAGAGGAGGGAAGAAGCAGACAGACGACGATGAAAGCGTAGGCTGGAGGCCGGGGCCGGCGGGGCGGGCAGGCAGGCAGGAGGAAGGGGGGTCGGGCGGAGACAGCAGGCAGGGAGCAGGAGGAAAGGGAGGGAAGGAGCCTGGGCTTTTTCCCTCGGTTTCGGCACCCTGGGGCCGGATGGAAGGGCAGGTCAGGGGACGAAGAGCTTTCCCCGCGGAAGGGCTCGTGATCTCTGGGGCCTCGGACTGGAAAAAGCATATGTGTGGATGTCTGCGTCCCTCCTACTCGTTTGGGCTGCTAGCTGATATCAAAATGGTCTTCATGCTGGCTCAGAGGTCGGAGCAGAGTACTAAACCATTGCAACAATGTACTTGGTTATTGCACAGACATGCGTTTGTAATGTAGCTGAATGCCGAACGCTGTGCGACTCAAGGTGGGCAGTAATTGCGTAGTGCTTGAAGCGGAACGGTGGTGGAGGGATATGAGGAGGCCAGGTACAAAACTATACATGAGCATGACAACTTACTTTTAGCGCCACACGTTCGCGAAGGGAAGAGAAACTCCCAGACCCCGCGGAAAGAATCACGGCGGGGGGCTTGCGCAATTTTCGGCCACTGCTGGCCCTCACTGGACCTGGGACCGTCCAAATCTCGGTCCGGGATGAGAAGCTGGTCCTGGGAAATAGCAGCTCGGGGGGGACCTTCCCTGGCCGCGGGGTTTTCACATTACCTCACCCTGGCCATTCAAACAGGCTCTCAGTAACGAGGCGGAGTGATGGATCAGGATCATCGAACTTGTCCCTTTCAGCAGCTCTTTCGGTCAGAGATTTGGAGAGTGAAGCGAGAGCCACTGGTAAAGGTCCAGACCTCTAGGGATCCACTCTTCGGAAAAATCGAGACGTCGGAGGTATGTGCTCCTTCTCCTCCCTCCCCTGCCTACCCTTGGGTGAGCCTTCATGGGAACCGCTGTGGACCTCCGCGTCCCTATCATAGACATGACTTCGACCAGACTTCGTCGAGATTTCGACCACCTCTCTTCACCCTGTCGTCAAGATTTCGATATGATTTCGTGCAGAGCTCGACCAAATCCGACGAAACCCGGACAACAGCCCCCAAATCGTAAGGAACTTGGCCACGCGCAGGGGGGGCTTCCCGCGCGCCTGGGAGGCTCTGTGGTGCACACTGCGTGGCGCAAACTATGCGGCCGCCAAGCGCACGAGGCGCCCACGAGGCACCCGCGGGCATCGGCACAACCACCCAGTGCACGAAGCGCCCACGAGGCGCCCACGAGGCAACATGCGGGCACCACGGCCACCAACTGGGTAATGGGCAAAACTCCGCCAAATCCATCCAATTCCTTAGAGACAGAAGTTGGAATCTTCTGCTTGGGGAGCAAGAAATTCAAGAACCCCTAGTGCAAGCATCGCCTGGGGAGTTCACATATCTCCGCATACACTGGTCCTGGCCAGCAGCTTCCTGGGCCCAGCATCGTTGCATACACCCTCAAAGCTTGATGCACAAGGCGTCGTAAAATCGGACCCCAAGACTACCTGGGGTCCCCTCCAGCTGGCCTTGCACACCAGATCGATCCCTGACGGCCGCCAGGGTCCGAAATTGGCCCTCCAGAAGCGAAATCGACGAGAAGCATCCGGCACGATATGTACCCATGAACTGCCCAGATCACCCTCACAAAAACTCGAAGTCGCTACTGGGTCCGTCAATACTCAGTGACAGAGGCACACACGCACACACACGCCCCCCCAGGCCATCGGAGACTCTTTGAAACCGTCTTGGGTGCGATTCAGGGCCTTCTGGAGCCGCCTTGACGGCGGTCTAAGATCGATCAGGGGAATCTGGCTGGGTGTAGGCCAGAGGCCTCATAGACGTATCTTGGGGTCTCTTTGAAAGTCTCTCGGAGCCCAGTTCCGGGCCTCTTTGGGGTCACCTGTAGCCTTCCCGTGGGCCCCCGGGGGTCTCTGGAATACTTCTTGGGGCCATCTTTCGGGCCTCCCAGGGGCCTCTTGACGCCTCTCGGGGGCCTGTTAGCAGACTCGAGTGTCATCTTTGGGCAGAAGGCTTGGAATGGTAACTCGGGTTCCTCCTCGTGGGCCCCTCTTGGGGCCCTCTTGGGACGTCTCCGGGGCTATTTGATCCGTCTTGGGGCGTCTAGGAGCCCTCCTGGGAGCCTCTTGGGCAGTCCCAGGGCGAGTTTGGAGACCTCCTGGGTCGTCTTGGACCGTGTTGAAATCAAGAAGGCAAATCTGCTAAAAGGATTTGCCTGCCTAGTGGAATGGTATGATGTTTGCTTATCGGGGCCCTCTTGTGAGTCCTCTTGGAGCGGTCTTGAAGCGTTGTGGACTCGTCTTGGGCCACTTGAAAAGTATCTTGGCCCGTCGGAGATCCCTGGAGGACGTCGTGGAGGTGAGTCGGGGCCGTCTTGGGCTGCCCGGTCGGCTGCCGGAGTTCTCTCGGAGACGATGTTTGCCCTCCCATCTGCGAACCTGGCCCCCAGGGCACACATTTGTAATCGAGGCTTCGGCCCGGGGGCCCCCAGACCAGGTCCCCCATTACATGTAGATATCCCGGATATCCTGGGGCTCGTTTTCGCCAGCACTCCAACAGGAAGGCTACCGCGGCGACGAGAAGCCTCCTGGAACCTCAGAACGGGCGAGCCAAACATAATGTAGCACACCAAAGGATGCCTATGCCGCTGCTCCACGGACCTCTCCAGGTGCGCGTCCAGACCAGGCCATCGATGCGAGTCTGGCCGTGGCAGCGAGGTACGGGCAGAGGTATCGGCATCTTCTTCTCCTACAAGACTGAATATCGAATTCCGACCCTCGCGATCCATGGGTTATCGAGGTCGTCGTCGCTGAATCGTCAGTTCCGCAGAACGTTCTCACTGAACAACTCTCTCATCCAGTGCAGGCTGCAGATCGTGAAGGCAAAACTGTTACACTAAGACAACCCTTCAGTGAACAAGAACATGTGTCATTCAAGTTTTTGCCACTGGTATAAACATCGTGATTCCATACGACACCCATACGGAACGAAAGGGCTTTGCAGAGGGCCTGGGCCACAAAAAGGTCCCCTGACGTAAACCAAAGGAACGGCCCGAAAACCCAAGCCCCTCCCGAGCCCAATGCGGTACTTATCTTAACGTCTTGACTGCAAATGTTCGCCTTCGGTAAAAAAAATGCCTTCCATGCAGCAGTGCCCCTCAAACATCGAGGTCGGCGTCGCCGCCGCCGTCGGCTCTGCGCGCCCGCCCGGTCCGAGCCTCAGTGAGCAGCGCCTCCTCGGGACGGCGGTCGTCGGCGTCGCGTCGGGCTGCAGGCTCAAGAGGACGGGCCACCTCGAGAGCCTCGGCGTGGGTGGAGGGAGGCTTCTCCCTCCGCCTTTTCCTGGGCCAGTGCTAGGTCGTTGAGTCCCCTTCCCTTCAGTAGGGAAACGGCGCCACTTTCAGCACAACATGTACCATGCACTTGCTGGACGCAGGTGTCGACGTATAGTGCAAGTTCGCTTTGCCGCGTTCGCGTGCACAAGAGGGCGCTCAGTGACACGGCCGAGCCACGCACGCATCCCATGATGCAGATCGATGATCGGTATGGTGTCTGTGTGTGTCTTCAGGCCACGTGATTAGCCCCGTGGCATTTTGCCACCCGTCCTCGTCTCGCCTCAGGCAAATGTCTGGCGTCGTCGTCGGTCTCTGTACAGCTTGTTCCAGTCGCGTCCGCGCTGCGCACCCCTTGCTCGCCCTCCTCCCGCCATCCACGCCGGGATGGCATTGTGCTGCCCCCCCCTCTGAGCCGGCCGGCGCGCGCAATGGCTTAGCTTTCGGCCGCAACTCTTGCTTTGCATCGCCTCGTCGCCGCGCGCGAGGCCGCGACCGCCAAAAATGCGTGTGTGTGTGTGTGTGTGTCTTCTCCTCGACGCGTGAGCGGGGCCGGTAAGGCCACCTCGATAGCCTCGACGTGGGTGGAGGGACGCGCATGCACAGCGTGGCGCTCAGCGACACAGTCGAGACACGCACGCATCCCATGATGCAGATCGATATTCGGTATGGTTAACGTGTGTGTGTGTGTGTCTTATGGTTAATGTGTGTGTGTCTTCTCCTCGATGCGTGAGCCGGGCCGGTAAGGCTACCTCGAGAGCCTCCGCGTGGGTTGAGGGAGGTGCATGCACAAGAGGGCGCTCAGCGACACAGTCGAGACACGCGCGCATATCATGATGCAAATCGATATCCGGTATAATTTGTGTGTGCACATTTCCTCCTCGCTGCGTGAGCCGGGCTAGTAAGGCCACCTCAGAAGACTCGGCGTTGGTAAAGGCGGCGCGTGGTAAAACAGAACGTCCAGTGACACAATCAAGCCACGCATGCATTCCAGTGATGCAGATCGACATTCGGTATGTTGTGTGTTTGTGACAATTGTGTCTTCTCCTCCTCCATCGGCAATGCTTGGTGGTAGCAATTACTCATTAGCGGCCTCGCGAATGTTCCGCTGTGTTGGACCAACTGGCCGGGAAGCAAAACAGTGTATACGCATCGCCGCATCACGCAATGCATACAGAAATACACGATCAACTTCTTTACACATGGAATTCACACTGAGGACATGAAAGGAATACGAAAGAGGGCAGCGGGAAAAGGTGACGCGGAGGGCGGCAGGATGAGGGACGAAGAGGATGAAGATCGGATCGGCCCTCCGCGGAAGTGCCCGTCCAGGGGCAGTCAGCAGGGGGGGGCGCATCACGGATTAGCAGCACAGCACATCAGAGGAGGAGGAGGGGGGCGGAGGAGGAGGAGGAGGAGGAGGAGGAGGAGACACCTCCGAGGCCCCAGACGGTCGCCCACCCCTCCCGCGGCATGGGGCCCGCCTCAGCCCAGGGCGCCACCGGGTCGGAGGAGCGCATCCGCTTCCTCTGGGCTGTCCAGAACTGCTTTTGTTGTGTTGCTCTCTCTTTCTCTCTCTCGTTCTCCCCCTCCTTTCCCCCCCCTCTTTCCTCTTTCCGCATAGCGGACCACGCCGGTCCGCCCGGCGCCCCCCCCCACCAGGGCCACGCTGGTTGGGGCTTCCAATCATCGCTGATGCGTCCCGGTGAGCCTCATACTCCGACTCCCGGGCGCCCGGCGCCGCCCGCCCATGGCAAGGACCTCTGGGCACGGGCGGCAAGCCTTAAAAGGCCTATCGCCTGGCACCCGAGGCCTCGAAGGGGCTCTGAGCCCGCTGGAAGCCCCCGCATGGGACGCCGCCAGTCAGGCTGATTAGCGCCGTGCCCATCCCAAGAGATGGGCAGCGGCCTGCGCAAATACTACCCCGCCCCACCAGGTGTGCCCACGAGCCAGGGGGGGAAGGGGGCAAGGAGAGAGCTGCCCAGTGACGCCCCCCCGCGGGGCCCCGAAGAGGCCGAAACCATACACTTAAAATGCCATCATTTTAAATAGATGGTTTCCAAGCCCCCCTGGGCCCTGGGCCCTGGGGCGAGGCTGCCTCTGGCCAACGAGAGGAGGCAGAGAAGGCAAGCGGGAGGGGAGGGGGCCGGGAGAGAGGGCGAGGGGGGGTGAGGGGGGAGGGAGAGAGGGCAGGCGGGGGCAGGAGAAACCCTGGACACTTCACCACCTCGACCCGCTGAGGCCCCAGAGGCATCTGAGTTCAGCCGGCGCCACTAGGTGGCCCAGCCGACGTTAGGTTACCAATAGAGTCGCTGTCTCCAGATGTCACCGAGGAGGCACCAGCAATCCCCTAGCAATTGTCAGGTTGATGCGGGCCCCCGTTGGTGCCTGGAGGCGGCCACGGCGAATCTGTCGCCGAGACGTCTGCGTCTGGGCAATCACCAGCTACCGCGCACCTCCTGTGCTGTGGGTGGCGTAGGATTTACGCAGTTATTGCGCCTAGGCCTCACAGCGGCTCTGGAGCCCGGCAGCCGCTGATGCCGCCTGCGGCGCCTCCTCCACCGGCGGCGCGCCCAGGATCAATTCGGCGCTGTGGGGGTCTGCTGCCTGGGCCGGGCACTGCATGAGGAGATGCGCCGCTGTCTCTGGGGCGCCGCCGGCAGGGGGGTACGACTCCTGCTCGGTCACACAGAAGGGCCCCCTGAAGCGCCAACCGCGCCCATGCCTGCACCTCCTCAGTCGTGCACCCGGCCGCAGCCAGGTGATGCGCTCCCCATCCGACTGGTTGCCCTCGCGCGCACCTGCGGCCGAGCCTCCAGCCAGGGCCGCTCCACTTGCTCATGCAGCCGGCGTCGCACTCGGCCCCGGAAGTTCAGGAGCACTCGCCGCCGGCTGGCCTTGGTCCGGCTCTGAGCTGCCCCTGGGTGCCGAACTCCCAGGCGTCCAAGGAGTCTTGCCATCGCTGCAGCCCAAAAGCCCTGGACCTTTTCCTACAATTGGAGGACCTCTCGCGCCTTGGTGTAGCGAGGGTCCACCTGGACCCTGGCCCACAGCATACATGAGGCTGCGGACCCGGGCCACTGGCCCAGTGATGCCAAGGAGCCATCTGCCCCACTCCTCCTGTGTACGATTCACGGATTTGTCGAACTCCGGCAGGTGGGAACACAGCTCGAGTTCAAAGAGGGCCTCAGCCAGGGTGCACGTCCACAGGAGCTGCATCTGAAGATCGAAGGGAGACGCCCAGTCCTGCATGACGCGAATGTGCTGGAGGCCCAACCGTCGCGCCGCCGCCAGACACGAGCGAAGGTGAGCTCCTCCCGGCACCACCCGTGTCGCGGGCGATTCCAAGGAACGTGTACTCTCCGACAAACCCAACCAAGCCGCATGGTCTTGTATCCATAGCACCACTGGCGAGCGCTGCTGTCCCCCTCCCTCTCCCTCGCCGCATTCCCTGTCCCTCTCCTGACCCCTCCCCCTTTCCATAAACCTCTCCATCTCCCTCTCTGTCTCCATCTCTTTCTCTCGCTAGATCTATCATCTTTCTCTCTCTTTCTCTCTCTCTCTCTCTCTCCTTCTATCTCTCTTTCTCTGTCTATGCCTATTGCTCGTCATGTTTCAGATACCCTTTTGTTTACTCTCTCGGTGTCTCTTTTTTCTGGTCTGCTCCGTTGATGCGAAAACCTTTGAATGGGGACCAGCACGGGTCTGACAAGATTATCTGCAAAACTTTACAAATCGAGATCCAGGCACCTAGTGCAACTTGCGGGCTGCAACAGCCACGCCAGGAAAGAGGACGCAGGCGGCGAGTAAGGAGAGAGACACCGACGACACAAAGAGGAAGGAAACAGCAAGGAGGCATGCAAGCGAACGAGAAATGAGGTGGCAAAGACAAACGAACGACGGAAGGAACAAGCGGCTGACAGGGGAAGGGCAAAAGGGAACGGAAGACAAGAACTTGAAACAATCAAGTTTAAGCGAAAGCCTCTTCGGAACTTCGCTGGCGGCTTCTGTCTGAAACGCACATCATCCATCCAAAATTGTGGAATGGGTCCTCGCACTCGGCCTCGCCATCGACCTCTTCCTCGTTTTCCTACTCTTTGTCTTTCTCTCTCTCTCTCTCTCGGTCTCTATCTGTCTCTTTGTCTCTGCCTCTCTCTCTCTCTCATTCTCTAATCCAAATCGCTCTATTGAAGGACATTTGCAACGCAAGAGGATTATGTGGACGCGGGAATAAATATATAAAACCATGAACGACAACGTGGTAGCCTCTTAAGCGAACAAAGCTAATAACAAATCGCGGGCCAGAATGAGCCGAATCTGCAGGGATGGAAAACCATGACTTTGGAACACGAATCATCGCCATGATCAATCATGTTTGACTGTACGGATCGTTCCTGAGAGTCCAACATCAAACACGTGTGCATCTCTTGGAAACGGCAAGTGTGGCCCTGCGCCGGGATTCCGCCCGTGGAACCGCCCCCCTTTCGCTCACGCCGCCTTCCGCCGGCCTTCCACCGAGGAAGCGATGTGAACTCCTCGGTGACTGGAAGGACAAGCCCTTTTCGCGGAGCAGGGCGAGTTGAGACAACGGCAACTCAGAAACTGTCCCTTCACCCTGCCCGGGTCCACACGCACCAAATTCCCGAGTTGCGCCCAGCCGTGGCAAAAAAGGGCCCTCTCGAAGGCCACCTACCAACTACCGTTGTGACAGCACGCCCTCCTTTGACTTCCTGGAGCTATACACAACTACATATATATACACAAATATATATATGTATATATATATATATACGTGTGTGCGAGTGCGTCTATTGATGTGCAAATAAATATGTTTCCCACAGTCGATCTGAAAACGCTGTGTGTCTAGATATACAATTGCCGAGAGACGACATTATGAAATCTATTTGACGCAACAACTACGTAGTGCAGCCTATATTGTGCAACATATATGGTAAACTACATGCTGTGCAAGCAATGTTGTGCAGTATGCGTTGTGCAATGGAATTGGTGGAATAGACGTGCTGCTACATATGTGGCAGTCTACGTGGTGCAAATCACCCATGCTCGCAGTGAAATGTAAATTCCACTGCTCGCGCAATCCCACCCACACACCCGCAACTTGGTTTGCAAACCCCATGCGACTACGATTGCGATCGGCTGATGCATCTCCGCGGCCGCGCTAACCCGCGCATGCTCGCGCGCGCGCAGCGGCCAGCTAGCGCGGCGAAGTCGATGCGGCCAAGGTGGCGCTGACCGCTGGGCACTTACCAGCGAGCACTTCAATGCGAATCGGTGACTTGGGCGGGCGTGGTAACTAGCACCCTGCAGATGCGGATAAGAGTGAGGAGGCGGCGGGGACGTCGGCAGTCTGCGAGTCTCTGGAGAAGCTCGCCGCAAGCCAAAAAAACACATATTATATATATAGAGAGAGATATGTGGCACCCCGCAGATGCAGATAAGAGTGAAGGGGGCGGTGGGGACGCCAGCAGTCTGCGAGACTCGGGAGAAGCCCGCTGCAGGCGCCAACGTTTCGCAAATTATGTAACGAGCCCGCCGCAGGCACCGATTTTTTCTTCAAACAAATGTGGCTCGGGTCGCCGGTTTGTCGCGGGGGGTGGGTCGCGGATGAGTCGCGGGTGGGTCGCGGTCGCCGATGGGTCGCGGGTGGGTCGCGGATGGGTCGCGGTGGGTCGCGGGTGGGTCGCGGAGGCGGGTGGGTCGCGGGTGGTCGCGGTCGGGGGGGTGGGTCGCGGATGGGTCGCGGGTCGCGGTCGCGGATGGGTCGCGGGTGGGTCGCGGATGGGTCGCGGGTGGGTCGCGGGTGGGTCGCGGAGAGGTCGCGGGTGGGTCGCGGGTGGGACGCGGAGAGGTCGCGGGGTGGGTCGCGGGTGGGTCGCCGGGTGGGTCGCGGGTGGGTCGCGGGGTGGGTCGCGGAGTGGGTCGCGGGGTGGGTCGCGGGGTGGATCGCGGGGTGGGTCAAGGGGTGGGTCGCGGGGTGGGTCGCGGGGTGGGTCGCGGGGGGGAGTACGACAACAAACAGCAGCAGCAACAACAACTACTACTATAACAACCATCACAATATCAACAACAACAACAACAAAAACAACAATCATTTGAGACTGTTCGCTTCTATTTGCTCACGTGCCAATCAATACGTATATCCCAAACCCGCGGTACCCGCCCTCGTCGTCTTCGATCGTACCCACTTGGGGGTATATGTTCCTTACCTGCCACGCGTATTTAGTGCAGCCCCTAAAACACGGGAAGAGAGGACGGGTGGAAGGGGGAGAAAGAAGAATGGAACACGAGGGAAATTAGCAGCAAAGGGGGCAAGGAGCAGAAAACAAGTGGTAGAACCAGACGGGCAGATCGGGTGGGCAGACCCATAGCGGGCAAGTCGGGAAGGCGGGCCCAGGCGACGAGATCGAGCAAACGGGTTGCTGAAGCGTGGGTCCTGCATGAATCGCGAGGAAGTCTCGAGCGTTAGCGCGATTCCCAAGTCAATCACGAAAGGCATAATAAA